GCACCTTTCGTCCCAACACGTCCAGTTTTGGCAATATATGTGGTTTTTGAAAGTTCACTGTCTCCAGTTTCTGATCACCTAAACCAGCATCATTTGTGCATGCATGAGCCTTTTGACATTTAAGCAGACATTGATTTAGCAGCAGTGAAAGCATTGGCTTTGCTATTCAGAAACATATAAGAATGTTTATTTTCTAAGTGTGTCAGGTTTTGTTGCACATTCAAAAAACTGTGCAAGTTTTCCAATTCCCTCCCAAAGGTAACATAAATATAATACTATAATGGTACTTTGTACTCCTTAACACTGCACAGGTGCAGACAGAACCAATGCTGTTAACTACGCTTTTCAGGGCCTGGCCATTGCGGCTCATCCGATTTATAGAATTGTTGGGAATTTGTAGTGGACAGTTAATAGTCTAAAGGGTTAAAATTTGAGGCTATTTTCCAAATAACAGTCCCAAATTACCGAGGCCAAAAATATACTTTAACAGGGCCTCTCACGTGTCAATTGCAGACTTCCGCCACCGCCGAAAGTATCTCCCGTGCCGCTACGCGCAGTGTGGATTGGGGCTACGCAAATAAAATGATGGAATCTGCAGGAGATGCGGTAGCTGCTGCTCGTGAGTCCCAGCCATCTAGTTTAGCCCCAGTCCGCGGCGTGGGAGATACTCTCGGCGGTGACGGAAGTGCGCAATTTAGGTCACCATAAGTCTGCAATTGATACGTGACTGAGGCCCTGTTAGGGTATATTTTCAGCCTCGAAAATTTGGGACCGTTATTCGGAAGAATATTTGATGTGCCTTTTTTTGTTTTTGTCTGTATAAACATGTTTTTAAGGCTTTAGTATGAGTGCACAGGCTACCAGCATTGAAACACATTTCTATAAGGCTTGGATTAATTATTTATGACAAGAAAGAAAAAATGTAACTACTGTAACATTCTTATGTCTTGGATGAATGGCTTAAGCAGAAGATACAATAAGACAAGTATGCATGCTGGAGAACATTGGGCGAGGAGAGAAGTAGGTCCGAGTACAGGGAGAAAGTCTGACCTGTGTAGGGTTATGATCACATTGGGGCGGGTGTGCAGAGAGTGGCCAACGGGTGCTACGGAGGTTGAAGTCCATCAGTTGATTCTCGACAGTTCACGCCTAAGTGATCTGATTATCTACAGATGGTTCAGTGTTGAGACTAAAGAGAAGTGCCTGGGGGTTCGTATCGAAAGCCAATGGAAAATATTTAGTGCAAGACAGCCTAGCATATGACACCACAACATCTAGCTTGAGATCAGAGGTGGTAACTGCAGCTCTCCGGTGGCTATAGAACAAGATGCATACACATGTCATAATCGTAACAGACTCTGAAAACATGCTGGTGAAGACAGGGATGCTTTGAGTAGAGTGGCAAGCTTCACTGGAAAGGTCATGGGTAGTGAGCATACTTTGGATCTTTTCTCCAAGCGCTATGCCGGAGTGGTGGGTAATGAACAGGCAGACAGATTGGCTGGATCCGCTCCACTGGGTGGTGAATCAATACATGACAAGGCAGATGTGATCAAGGCCCTTTGGGAACAAGCAACAGAATCAGTAGAGAAAGAAGATTATTATGGCCTGGAGAGAATGAGGCACCTGGGTGTAACCATGGGGTCTGGCCGGCTGACTACACTCAGAGGAAAGGCAAGACGGACATTTAACCAGATTTTGACCGGTACCATCAGTATTGGAACTATGCGCTGCCTGCTGAAGATGAGGGCAGAGCATGCATGGGAATGCCCTGAGTGCTGTGATGTCAATTCTTGACTCAACTCAACTCTTATATCTTGTCGGAGACCGGCCATTGCAGCAAACCCAATTTTTAGGCTTGTTGAGGATTTGTAGCAGGTGAAGAAGTCAATTTATAGACTAGCAGGTTAAGGCTTGATTTGCCTCTTTTTTTTTTTATCTATCTAAACATTGTTTGAAAGCTTCAGTATATGTGTAGAAGCTGCCAGTATTGAAAGAAATTTATGTGAGGCTTGGACCAAAGAGAAAACATGTAACTACTGTACCATGCTTATAACATATGGCAGGGAATTCACACATCTGTGCCACTTAGAGAAAAGGATATATAAGTGTGACAGTTTAAATATAGTTCTGAAATCTAACACTACATGATGACAGATTTTAAGTAGCAGTGCTTTCATTTTGTAAAATTTCTCTGCAGGGAAAAGTATGTCCTATCCAGTTGTGTTGTGTACACTTCTGGGAAACTTCTACTTCAGTATCTTTCTCTCTGTCTATCTCTGTCTCTCCAACCTCCTCTCGCTCACACACAAATATATATATATATATATATATATATATTAGACACACACACACAAAGAGGCTTCATATCTTCCTTGTTCTTGCATATCCACTTGATGTGTGGCATAAGGTAATAAACACTTTTCAAAATAAGTCGGTCCTGAGGAAACAAACCAGAACAGTAAACTGATAGAGAAATCAGATGTAGACAGTCAAGACTTTAAAGACGTGACAAAAAGAGATAAATGACGACATGGCATGAGTAGGATAAGAACAGTGGCCTGATCCAATTCTGATGATTATATGAAATTTGGAATGCACGAAGTGTATCTTTAAGGGAACTAAATAAATGAAAATGGGAAGGTGCCAGATCGAGACTAGGGTGGATGGGGTAATACAGTCCAAACTAATTTAGTAGTTGCTTTCCCTGTTGCCAGACTTGTGTGAGGTCCAGCGTTGTCTTTTTGACCTGTATAGTGCAAGTTGCTACATGCTTCATTTCAGCAGTTTCGGCAGCCATATTATATGGCCGGTTATGGTGCAATTTGGTGCACATGCATTGTATTTGAAGTCAAGTAAACCAATTAACATGGACAAACAAATGTACTCAACCAGAAATGTTCATCCTTGATTTAACTGATGTCATCTTTGACTATAGTAGACTGTTTTTCACATTATTAAGTAGTGGCTTAATGTTTCCTTTTACATGTGCTTCTGTTTTGCTTCTAACCGCCAGCTGTAGTCCCCAGTGTTTCGTCTAACAAGACGAGATGTAGTTTGCTGTATTATTTACATTAAATTGTTGTGCCCAGGGCATATCCAGCAACTGTTGTTGCCTAAAGTTGTATATAATTAAATATAGAGTAACATCACAACACTGTAGGAGAGAAAATGAAAAGTAGTTGGGGAGGGAGGGATGCCTGGCTAAGGGGTCAAGCCATTTGCCTAGCACTTAAAAGGTCTGGGTTCATTTCAGGGTAGTGTCGTTCAATTCACAAGTGCTTTTTTGGCGGAAATCCCAGTGAATTGTCACTGGAGTTACAAAGTTCGCACTTTGTGTGACGCTCTCAGCAGGCACCTACAGAGAGAAGCTACGCCAAATAGGGTGACCTCACCCAATAGAGTTTATCCTCTTAACATTATTTATAACTTAATGATAAAAAGTAACAGTAAGTAAATAAATAAACACATAATGAATTATTGTTCGCTCGTTATGTTACAGACAAATAAGGCATCAGCCTTGAAATTCATGTTGAGGTTTTACTTATTTTAAAGACTGCCTGTTCAACAACACCTTGGAATTGTTATGAGAATGAATCCTGATATACCTGCCAAAACAGCTCTCACATGGATACCAGAGGGAAAGAGAAAAATGGGCGCCAAAAAACAACATGGAGACGAACGATGGAAAGTGACCTGAGTGGGGCATCTTTGACATGGAAAATTGAAGATTGCACAGGACAGGAAAGCATGGAAAGTCCTCTCTGAAGCCTCATGTGCCACTAGGCATAACGAGAACTGATGATGTTCAACAAAGGAGTGTAGGCAATCTTAGTTCACCATATCACATAGTTATGGGTCAGGTCTGTTGTCTTGTAATGCCCTTGCTGTGTAGCAGAGCCATCTAGATGTTTGTTGTATTGTCTTCCACTTGTTCTTTTTCCATCAAATTTGCCAGTTGTCAGTAATATTTTATGTTTTTATCTCCTTATAACTTGCCCAAAAGATCTTGACTGTCTGCATCTAATTTTGGCATTATAAATCTGTGGTTTAGCACCAGCAAGGAAATAAAAGTCAACATTTTGAGGGCATGCTTCTTCCCTATAGCAACATGGGGTTGTGAGTTGTGAATGAGTTGTAGACTGTCTCACAGTCACTAAGAAGAAGAAAAGGATTTTGAGCCGAAATGCTGTAGAAAAATTCTCAGAATAACACGATGATGAGAAAAAAATACTGACATCCTAAAGGATCTGAACATTAACTCTTTTGAGTCACATAAGTTTTTGCATATATTTCCAAGGTGCACAATAACCACCATAAACAATCACAAGAGTGTAATTTGTATTAGGCAAAGTGCACAATAATCGCAAGTGACTACACAGGAAGAAGCCAGATTTCGCTATCATTCTCTGACCAAATGGGAACAGGGAAAAGGCACAATATATTTTTTATTAGATTCAGCGAAAAGAGCCATTGACACATCATGCGTTGCTTGGAACTGAATGAGTCACAGAAGATTGGCAAGTAAACAGCATCTTGTTTGGCAAACTGAAAGTGAAATATTTTTTGTTAAATTAGGCGTCATGGCAGATTGGAAAGAATAATAGAAGATGGGCACATGTTAAAAGTGACACTGTGGATAGAAACATTCACAGTGTGGAGGACCTGGTAAGAGACCAAATTTTGATGAGAACTGTCTTCTGCGTCCAAATTCCCTGCTGCATGTTGATGACATCTAAGATTTTTACAGCGTTCGTCTGATATGTTGAATGAAGGACTGCCTGTTTTGATTGTTTGTCTGTCATTGATAATCTTTGCATTTGTCTCAGAAACCACATAAGATGTTTTTTGGGGGATTTGTCTGCTTGTTGTATATCCTCAAATGTTGTCTCTAATTGTAGTTGTTAGTTTGCAATATTTTCAGGAGACATCTGTACCCAGTTTTATTGTTACAGTGTATATGCATCAATATTTATGGATTCACTTTGTGTCCTCCACAGTGATGGCAGCACACAGCATATTGGTGGATGTTTGAGGGATTTTCGCAACAAACCGTTTCCTGTCAGAGTGAAGATTGAATATTACAACCAAGTGCTGACGGTACAGATTTGTTCTGTGTATTTTTTTTTTCTTGCAGTTACTTTCTTATTGTAGAGTTTATAGCTGTTGAAAATATAATTGGTACTCTTGCTGTTTAGCTTAATTCTCCAATGCTGTATTGAAAAGCTTCTGATTGAGCAGTTGAAGTGCAAAACTCTTATTAATAGAACCTGGGTTTGAATACTCAGGAAGTTGATAAGATTTTTTTCTGTCGGGGGCGATATTAAATTCCTAATCCACACAGCACATTGCGACTGCACTAGCATGGATATCCAGATATCTCACTTCTTTGGCTTCTGATGTCAGTGCCCTGTTTGGTTTGTCTTTGCTTGCTGTTTTTTTTTTATTTTTTTCATCATATATTATGTTGGTAAACTTTTGAATGGCATCATTTTGTTTTAAGGAATAAATCTGAATTCACTATCTGTTGCTATTAGGTGAAGGTTCACAACGGTCTGACAAACAACCCAAATGACTTTGAAATTTGCTTGAGTGCATCCAATGTGGTATTGCCAGCTTCAGGATACATTGGAATCTCTGCTGCCACTGGGGGATTGGCTGGTGAGTGTTGACTGTACATAGACAATCAGTTAAAACTACCCACCCACACTGTAGCATTCGTAATAGTTTTGTGATGCTTCAGTATAACTGCTGTATAGTTGAATGGGGTATCCAGGCTTTGTATCTGTTTGATTCTCATCATTAGGATGTTAATCATGCAGACTGAAATACTGGAAAAAGAACCTAATACATTTTTTTTAAATGTAGTTACTTGCAAATCCTTTAACAATGTTGCAAACCAGCCCCGCCATTTATTCAGTTTTTTGTTTAAATTTTAACAGGCATCTTCACCTACGGTAGTTTGCCATTGCTTACACAAAGATTAGAATGTATGTAATGAGTTGGATATTTTTTAAAGCTTCAGTGCTGAAAGCAAAGCTTTTTCTTGTGCTTTTTATCTCCCAGTGTGGCAAAGGCCGTCGAGCATCTCACACCAGACTTTCATAGATTTGTTCGTGGCTGATTGGATTTTTGACTGAAGTTGTTTTATAGGCAGGAACCAAGACTATCCCTGCCTTCAGTCACCTCTAAAATGACATCAGACCTGGTTTGGGTACATCGTTGCTACTTTTTATTTTATTTTTAACTTCCTCCTGAGGGCCTCGATAAAGCAGATTTTTTTTTCTTTAGATGTTTCTTTTTTTTTTTTTTTTTTTTTTGAAAGTTGCAGTTAATGTAAATTTTATTTTAGTCCATTTTTGTATATTATCTTCAGAGAAATATTTTTTATTTTTAAACTATTTTTGTCACCAATGCAGGGCTCTTCTTATTTTGGATTTGTATTCCTAATAAAGCATACGTGGTGGTCTGCCATTTTACGCTAGCCTTCTATCCTTTGCAGTGTCTTTACTTTTACATTCCACATTTTTCTGATCAGTATGGTGAATAGATAGGCTCACTGTTTTAATTAGTAGCCGGTTTTTGCTTCTGAAAATAGTTAGTCGTTGAATTTTTCTGATGTGTATGTAGACTGAAAGGATATCATTTTATAGACTAACTACTGAGTTCAGTGCCTGGCGTGTAACTGGGCTGCAGGTTTTATTTTGAATTCTTTTGGACAGTGCCTAGTGTTGTGAATCGCAGATTCAGAAAATGGCAAGTGGCCAGTTGCCACAGAACTAGTGATGCCTGACGTGATTACTTGTACATGCAACTACTAATCTGTTGTAACTGCTACTACCATTGACAATGAACTGCATTTCCAGTGCCAGACTGTATGTATTGGCATTCTGATAGCTGTCTTATGCATTTGATGTGTGTATATGCTACACACTGAGCTTACAGCCTGCATCATTTTTCCACAGTGGTGGACATACTGTGTGTTTTCCATCGGCATAGAAAAAGATCTCAGCAACTATGGGGTGACCCATTTAGAACTGCAGTTACCCGATCCAAATTATTCATGTTTGTGTACATATATGTCATTTTGTATATTTCATTTGCTGTGTGGGAAGGACTTTTTAGTTATGTTGTAAACATTTTTTCTCAGTGTGTGCCCATTGCAGGCATGTAATATTATCATGATTCCTTTTTCTGTGGGATGTGCTTGGTTGTCTTCCTGTTCTCTTGCATTAGTGGTGCTATCTTCAGGCATGTTTATAGTTTATTACTACTAATTTTAGTTGTTCTCCATTTTTTGCCTACCCAAAAGCATGTCTTAAAAGTAGACTAATTAGGAGCTTCCTTGGAAGGTGGAGTGCATCTGCATGAGGGGCAAGGAACCAACAGTCTGCAAACAGATGAGTCAGGTTCTGGAAGAGGACTGCAGTCCAGAAGTGGATAAACAACCAAAACTTTCCAGCCAGTGTTTACAGCTAGTGAACGGGAAGAAGAACAACTACTAATCTTAATTGTTCTACATTTTTGTAATCTATACAGCAGTACTATTTTGAAGTTAGTTGCAAACTGTGATACTAGATTTAATTTCGGATGCCATAAATTTCCTAATGGTATGAAGGCTACTCCCTTTGTATTAATACTGGGGTTTTTTCCCACAGAATTTGTCTGCTTTACTACCTAAATATGCACCTACTTGAAACATAAATAGAGAAGGAGCATCATCTAACATGTTGTTTATGTTATCTTTTTTTTGCAATCCAGACGACCATGATGTTCTCTACCTGTTGACACACAGTCTCCATGACCCTACTGCAGAATCTACCCAGGTCTCAGAGGAGGAGCGGCAGAAATTTGAAAAGGAATTTGAGCAGTACCAGGAGGAGCTAGACCGGGCAAAACAAGAGTAAGATATGTTGTTAAGCTTACTTGATGTTAGGTAGCTGCTGTGGTGTTTGGCGACTGGACGCTCACCTGCAGATCTGACGGTCCTGGGTTTTAAAGCAAACAGACCCAGACTTTTTTTTTTTTAACTGACACTGGCTCCCAAATCAACTGAGCCAGGTAAAGTAAAGTCTTTGGAAGTAAAGGCGGGCGGTGTGATCTTGACTCTATCACCCAACAAATGCCAATTGAACTATAAATAAAGTATAGGTCCAGCACTGTATGTCCAATACACCTGAAGGCGTGGAAAAGGATCCTTACATGAAGTGAAGTTCTTAACACATTTATTCTCTGGCACTTAAAGAAGAAGAAAAGGAAAACAGTGCAGATAAGTAGGAATACACATGAGAATCTTTAAAAACTGGGCATATAGGTAATTTAAATCTTTCGTTTCTAAGCACTGAAATACAGATAGCTATTCTTCTTCTCATTCTCCCTGTCAGTGGTTTTCAGATGAAAAGGTTTCAGGTATCTTTCCACTGCATGTAGAAAGCATGTCTGCAGCATATGTTCAGTATTGTGGGGTCCCTCTACACAAGGGTAGAGTTCACTGTCCTCAGTCTTGAGTTTCTTATACAAATGGCTGCTGAATCTGTTGTGTCCCCCTTAAGTCTAAATGCAGGGCTGTGTAGCTCTCTTGTGAGGAGGTTAAGCTGTTCTAGCTAGCACATGTTCCTTTCTGGGTATGTATGAAAGCACAAGGACAATATTTATCAAACATATTTCACATATCTATCTGCGTAAAGTGAAAGATATATTCATGTGGCAAGGCATAATAACCCACGCCAGTTGGCAAGGCACTTGATGATGATGATGATCGGTGTAGACGTACATGGAATTAAAGAGAGCAGTAAAGTACAGACCAGTCCCCTTTACCCCTTTACCTCCCTCGACATCTGCAACTGCAGTAGTGAAAGGGAAAGAATGAAGTTGCCAATTCATTCAGTTGAAATTCTCTCTTCACCTGGCTTTACTGTGGGCATAGGTGATACTTAACGTCAACTCATTCCATTGATCGACCCTCTGAGATGGCATCAGTGCCGTTCTGTGCCCTTTAATTGCCTGCAACAATTGAATGTCCTGGTTTCTAGATAAATATGACTTTACAAAATGTGAACCTTTGTAGGGATTCAGTGCAACACTTGACAAAAGAAAAATGCTTCTTTATACTTCTCTGAAACTCTACCATAAGAAACTAGAAATAAAGAAGTAGAAGAAACTGTAGTCTTAGACTGTATCATAATTGTCCAGAGGGTAGACCATCAAGACAGGTAGGTGGAAATTCCTCTGGATTTGCAGTTCACATCACATTTTAAAAAAATTAAGTTCAACAAAAATTGTTTTTTTCTAATTTTCTCTAGTCAGTTTCTAACTCGGGAATAATTTTAGTTTCTACGTGAAGGGAAGTAATAACTAAAAACAAATGAAGCACAGAATTAATTGATTTCCTTCCCTTTAGCCATCTTAAACTTGTTTTGGTCACTTTTCCACACAGAGCTATGTGACACAGTTGTGACATTATATGACGTCAAGATGACCACACAGTTTTTTTTTTTAAATCAGTTTTTTCACCCAGGATATCTTTCAGATAATTATTGCAGTAATATAAGCATACCCATCATGTTGACACATTATGGAGTTGCAAACTGATGCAATCAGAACAACCAGACGCTTAGATTTCAGCATTTATAGGGTTAAAGGCCCCGGCTCTGTGTTTAATACTTTCTCAATTCTGTTTTCAGTTATCGCAAGGAGCACCCTGACCAAAAAGATGAATACCAGGATGGGGACGAACAATGGGTACATTTTACGTGTATTTTTTTTTTTTTTTTTTTCCAGCTGAAATCAGCATGAGTTTTATGTTCTTTTTGTGTAATTTAGATATGTTGTAGAGTATGCTGAGATTAGAACATGACTAGTTTCCAGTAACAAGATGTCAGTTGCAGTAAGGAAAAGAATGTTATGTAGGACCTGAATTGTTATGCGCATGTAAGACATGGACAATACACAGTCAAGCTTAAAAACACCTAGATGTTGAACCATGGAGGACCTGCGATTCACAAATGAATTCATTAAGGCAGTCCACCTGATGATCTGACCCTAGCGTACGCAAATCTTCTTTTTTTATTTGCTTGAAATTGATTGTCTGTTATCTGCACTGTTATCTCCAGTATGAACTTCGCTGTCTTTTGTAATTGACTCAGCGACCTGTGAAGTTTGGCTTGCATTGGTGTTTTTCCTGGCCAGAGGTTTTGCCTTGATTGTTGTGTTTGGGACAGTCTTGGAAGGTGTGATCTGTTGTCTCAGGTGCCAATCCACATGTGCATGTTGGTTGATTCACCAGTTTTAAATTTTTTATACATGTGACTGCATAGTCGAGTGTGTCCTGTTCTAAGTCATATAATAGTGCAATGCTCTGGTCTGTCCATAATATAGTAATTGTCTTGTGCCAGTTTTGATGGCTTTCTGATTAATTTGATTATTTTCTTTTTCCGTTGAAAAGAGACTGTAATGTCCGGTTGTTCTTTATTTACACTTTTCTTAGCTAGTTTATCAGTATTTTCATTTCCAGGAACTCCACAGTGGGGTGTTATCCATTGCCAAGTTAATTTACCCCTGTTGCCTAGTTTGGAGAGTAGTTTTTGTGTATCAGGTAATTTTTCAGATTGGAGTGCTTGAATTGTAACACACTAAAATGAACACTAAGAAAAAATGTCAACATACTGTTCGGGTGCAGAGATGTTCAGCCACACATAGTGGTACACCATTACTCAATCTGGTCAGGGCCTGTCTGTACCTCTGTGCGGTCATTTTAGGAACAAATTCCTTGCCGGGAGTCTGGCCAGCATAGATATGTTTGATGTTTCCCTTGTGGTCGGTTTGTATCTGCCTGAAAGGCAAAAACTAACACAGATGCGCCAGATTAGTAAAATGGATGTGCACACAATAAAGTCCTGGAACAAGACAAAAATCTAGAAGTGGATGAGCAACCAGGATTTTCTGCTGGAGTTTACAGCTGCTGAACATGAAGAAAAAGGAGAAAAACATGTTTCTCATGGAACTCTAGCTGTCTTTATTACAGATAAATACATCTGAGTCATAATGTGGTTTTGTTTGTTTATTTCAGTACCAGAGTCAGAACGACAAGGAGTTGAGACAAATCTTTGACGGACAGAACGTGATTCATGTCATTCTGAAGGACTTAAACAGGAAGTTGGATGAGCTGATGGGCAGACAGGAGATTGTCATTTCGAGGATCAATTCACTTCCAGTTGGTCAAGGACAACCTCAAGGGCAGCCTCAACAGGTAAGCAGTTCTTCGAGGTTGACCTTTAACCCTCTCACCCAGCAGACACCCAGAAAATATCTCAGGAAAAAATCCTTTAAAATGTGTATATAAACAGGTAAATAAAAAGCAACAATTTTACACGTATTAAACAAATAATGGGGTCCTCAGAGAGTGCAGAAAGTCCCGGGTAACAAATCCCTTGGTAGTTGGAAATCAGAAAGAGTAGCCTAATGGCTCTGCCCAAGCAAAATTTGGAGTTAAAAATCTGCCCAAAGTTTTTCAGGATCCTCGTCAGTGCTAAGGAGTTTGTGCATTACACAGAGATTCTTCAGACTCAGGCATGAGTCAGAAGTAGAAGGGAGCACTGTTACCACCCTTGTGCCATGATGTTGATCCGTTGTTTAAACAGATACATATAATTTTTCACACACACACACAAATTGTTTAATTCATAAAGCTAAATTAAGGGAATAGTTAATAAACATGAATAGGGCGAAGCATTAAACAGAATACATCCTCTGGGGCCTAAAAAAAAACATTTATCCAGTGACTCATTCCGTGACCTCAATAACTAAGCCCAACAGAAAAAAATGACATGAACTTAGCTTTAAAAATGCTATCTGGCTCAAAGGAAAAGCCCCTAAATGCTATTCTTAGTTAATGTATTCATATCTGACCTCTTAAACTTTGCGCAGGCGCAAAAACAGCCAGAATTATTAGCCATGCATCTTCTAAATAGTTCACCATGGGCAAGTCGGATAAGTGACATTTATGGGGAATTAGACCCAACCAGAAGTGTTGGTTTCATGGCTTCTCATGGTGAAAGGAGGATTAAAAGGGCAGTTTGCACATTGTGGTGTGGTTAACAGCCAGGCTGCAGGATCTGCGCATTTCCAAATTCAGCTAATTCACAATTAGTCTCTTTTGGCAATATGCTAGTTAGTTGATGGTGGGTCTGTTCACCCACTGAATGTGAAGATAAACAAAAATGCGGGGTAGAAATGTTTGTTGGTACATTATTTGTAATATAATACATTATTTGTAATATTTGTTAGTACATTATTTGTATTATGTGTTAGTACATTATTTGTATTGTGTGTTAGTACATTATATGTATTGTGTCTTAGTACATTATTTGTATTGTGTGTTAGTACATTATTTGTATTGTGTCTTAGTACATTATATGTATTGTGTGTTAGTACATTATTTTTATTATGTGTTAGCACGTTTGTAACTTTTGTTTGCACAATATTTGTTATGTTTTTGAGTACATTTTAAAGTGTTTGTTAGTACATTTTATAAATTGTTTGTAAGTACATTATTTATGATGTTTGTTCGTACATTGTTTGTTAAGTTTGTTAATAAAGTATTTGTGATTGTTAGTACATTATTTGTATTATGTGTTGGTAAATTATTTATAACATTTGTTGGTACAATATTTGTTATGTTTGTTAGTACATTTTGTAGTGTCTGTTAATACATTGTTTATATTGTTTGTTAGTACATTTTTTGTAATGTTTGTTAATACATTATTTGTAATGGGTGTTGAAACATTATTTGTAATGTTTGTTAGTCAGCTATCTGTAATATTTATTAGTAAATTATTTTTTCAATGTTTTTGGTAACTTATTTGTAATGTTTGTTCGTACATTTTGAAATGATAAATTGACAACAAAATATGAATAAATGAAAATGCTGACAAATATGGTATTTATCCTACAGTTGGGTCAGCAGCCTGTGGCTGGTTCCATCCAGAGACATGAGGTGGACAGGGTCCTCGGCAATCAGAACAGTCTGTTGCAACAGCTGGGAGAATTAAAGTACGTGGACACGCAGAAATGGTCTGGGCTGGTCTGTCAGCTTCAGGCTGTTTATGTCAGTAGAAGAGTGGCTGTATGAGAGTTCTGGGGCCCCATTTGGGCCGGAGAAGGGAGGGGTGGAAAAAAAACTAGACTCACTGTTCCCCAACAAGCGTGTTGTAAAAGCCGACTAACTGGTGATTATTCTTTCGAAGTTGGATTGCCTCTGCCTGAGAGATAAGAACCAACAGGCTGCATACAATTATAGTCAGATCAGTAAAATGGATAGTGCACGCAGAACTTAGATTCTGGAACAATACTGAAGTCCAGAAATGGATAGATAACTAGAACCTTCTGTCGTAGTTTACACCCAGTGAATGCTAAGCAGGGAAGTATGAAAGTTTGCTGTATTCATTGTCAGAATGTTTGTCCCAAACTCTAAAAGTCATGGATGCATTTTCAGTTATTCAGATGCATGAATGCAAATGTTCCTGTGTGTGTCATACACCATTAGAAGAAACATTGATAACCACAAAATCAGTTGTATTCTGTCAAGCATCAGTGTATTCTGACTGTATGCTTGTCATCTTTTTTTGACTGTTCTGCCTAGGCTTGTCATCAGTGGGGTAGTTTTTAAAATAACTTTTTACTCTACTGTTTAGGCTTGTCGTCAATTATGTTTTTGTTTGAATTATTCTGTCTAGACTTGTGATCAGTGATGTTTATGTTTGGACTGTTCTGTCTAGACTTGTCATCAATGATGTTTATTTTTGGACTATTCTGTCTAGACTTGTCATCTGTGATGTTTATGTTTGGACTATTCTACCTAGACTTGTGATCAGTGATGTTTATTTTTGGACTATTCTGTCTAGACTTCTGATCAGCGATGTTTATGTTTGAACTATTTTGTCTAGACTTGTCATCAGTGATGTTTATGTTTGGACTGTTCTGTCTTAATGCGTCATCAGTGGTGTTTTTGTTTAGACTATTCTGTCTAGACTTGTCATCAGTGATGTTTAAGTTTGGACTGTTCTGTCTTAATGCGTCATCTGTGATGTTTATGTTTGGACTATTCTACCTAGACTTGTGATCAGTGATGTTTATTTTTGGACTATTCTGTCTAGACTTCTGATCAGCGATGTTTATGTTTGGACTATTCTGTCTAGACTTGTCATCAGTGATGTTTAAGTTTTTACTGTTCTGTCTTAATGCGTCATCAGTGGTGTTTATGTTTGGACTTTTCTGTCTAGACTTGTCATTGCTAATGTTTTTTAACTATTCTGTCTAGACTTGTGATTGGTGATGTTCAACATAAAATCAACACTATCCAGAGCAAGGGCACTGGCTCGGCTGCAGGAGTCTCAGACCAGATGGCCTTGCATGAGATCAAGGATAGGGTGAACACTGTGGGCAATGATGTCAAGAGTTTGTTGAGTAAACCACAGGTGGGTCATCTAGCTGCTTCCTTTCAAGAGTGTGTGCATGTATGTGTGATCTTGAGACTCTGGCTGTTTGTCTCAGGTATATGTGAATATGTCTTATATGGGTATTATGTGTGTCTGCTTGGTATATGCCTGTATGGTTTTGTTTGTGTATGTGTCTTGCTCTGCCTTTTTGTTTGTGTTTATGTGTGTGTGTCCTGCTTATCTGTCTCTGTCTATTCTTTTTTGTCTGTTTCTGTCTGTTTTTATTTCCGGTCCATTATGGCATATGGACAGGCTTATGATTTTTAGTCGTAGCTAGTCATTTGCTTCTTACTACGGTTAGCCATTGCATTTTTTCATATGTGGACAGAAAGTATATAGTTCCATTGTCCAGCTACTAAGTTGAGTGCATGAGTCGCCCGTTGCCACAGAACTGGTGGTACCTTGTGTGTGCAACTAGTGATTTGTTCTTACTGATGTTTATTTACACCGATGATGAACTGCAGTTACCTTATCTTATCTGTCTTTGTTTGTCTTTTGTATATATTTATGTGTGCCTCTCCCTGCAGTGCTGAATACAACAGAGGTAAGCTCTTGCCACAAGGCAGATGTGTTCAAGGCCCTTTCAGTAGAGAAAGAAGATTATTATTGCCTGGAGAGAATGAGGCACCTGGGTGTAACCAGAGGCTCACTACACTCAGAGGAAAGGCAAGACGGACATATAACCAGATTGTTACCGGTACCATCAGTATTGGAACTCTGCGCTGGCTGCTGAAGATGAGGATGGAGCATGCATGGGAATGCCCCGAGTGCTGTGATGTCAATTCTTGACTCAACTCAGCTCAACTCTTGCCACCTTTTATGTTGGTAGTTAGGTCCATGTTTCCAATGTTTAGAAACACATGCTCCGGCCAGCACTGTTGGATGTAGCTGGCACATTTTCACCCAAGCATAACTCATTGAAACCCCTTGGACAGTTGTAAAATTAAATATTATTTGCTTGCTGCTGTTATAACCCTCTTGTCTTGAGAAAGTAATATTTCAGACTTTTACGGATTTTGGTTGGCATGACTATGGTACCTTTAGACAGTACACCTGTATGAGGGTCTTCTCTATGCTCTTTGCACTGTTCTGTGCACGTTAATCTTCAGTTCTTTAATGTTGTTCTTAATGCTGTCATTCCATATTTTGTATAGTCTTCCTTTTGCACTGTGCTCATTATATTTCTCCGAGGTGACTCTCTGTTGTACTTGAATTCTTACCTGCTAACTGTTATTCTTCAACAATCTTGACCCAGGAGAAAAGAGTCAGACTGTCCCAGAGTTGTATCAAATGTCCAAGGTGTCTATGAAGCAAAAAATGTGTCGTAAATCACCAAATAGACATGTGGAACTCTTGTATGTTTCTTAAATGAACACGATATCTCAGCAAAAAGCAGTGCAGTTGTGTTAACAAGATGTTTGTTCAAGGGAAAATCTGCATTCTTGGCTAAAGCTGTTCTGCAGACTTCTTTTAGTTTGGCAGACTATTGTCCTGTAATCTTTATAATGAAATTAATTTTGTGATATGTGTTAATTAAACTGAGAGTCAGGTGGTATAGTGGCTCGATGCCAAGCCTGCTGACCTAAAGATAATGAGTTCAAATCCACATTTAGACAAATGACCTTGATTCCCATGTCAGCCCAGCTTAAAATGGATACCAGGTAAAGTCCTGGGAAGGAAAGGTGGCTGGCAGGATATTGGCCACGTTCCCTTCTAGGACCAGTCTAGCATCATATACCCAATGCACTACTGACCTGAAAAGGGTCCTGTACTTTACTACTTATCAGGTCTCAGCATAACCATACCTTGTTACCTATCAGGTCTCAGCATAACCATAACTTGTTACCTATCAGGTCTCAGCATAACCATAACTTGTTACCTACCAGGTCTCAGCATAACCATAACTTGTCTGTTCACAGGCTAATTTACAGTGCCCGCCCTCATCTTCTGAGAGCTGTCTATCAGCAACCGTGTTCTTCATAGGATTAGTGGCACAGTTTGTCTTAACTATTGGATATTTTGTGTACAGGTGAGTTTGGTGTGTCCTAGTAGCTGTGTATACAGGTGAGTCTGGTGTGTCCTAGTAGCTGTGTATACAGGTGAGTCTGGTGTGTCCTAGTAGATGTGTGAGTCTGGTGTGTCCTAGTAGATGTGTGTACAAGTGAGTCTGGTGTGTCCTAGTAGCTGTGTGTACAGGTGAGTCTGGTGTATCCTAGTAGCTGTGTGTACAAGTGAGTTTGGTGTGTCTTAGTAGCTGTGTGTACAGGTAAGTCTTGTGTGTCCTAGTAGCTGTGTGTACAGGTGAGTCTGGTGTGTCCTAGTAGATGTGTGTGTACAGGTGAGTCTTGTGTGTCCTAGTAGATGTGTGTGTACAGGTGAGTCTTGTGTGTCCTAGTAGCTGTGTGTACAGGTGAGTCTAGTGTGTCCTAGTAGCTGTGTGTACAGGTGAGTCTGGTGTGTCCTAGTAGCTGTGAGTCTGTGTGTCCTAGCAGCTGTGTGTACAGGTGAGTCTGGTGTGTCCTAGCCGCTGTGTGTGCAGGTGAGTCTTGTGTGTCCTAGCAGCTGTGTATCCAGGTGAGTCTTGTGTGTCCTAGCCGCTGTGTGTACAGGTAAGTCTTGTGTGTCCTAGCAGCTGTGTGTACATGTGAGTCTTGTGTATCCTAGTAGCTGTGTATCCAGGTGAACCTGGTGTGTCCTAGTTGCTGTGTGTATAGGTGAGTCTTGTGTGTCCAGGTGAATCTGGTGTGTCCTAGTTGCTGTGTGTACAGGTGAGTCTGATGAATCCTAGTAGCAGTGTTGAAGGTGAGTCGTGTATCCTAGTAGCTCAACTTTCTGAGAAGAATGCAAAGAATGCCATAGAGGGATAGAAAAACAAAAAGAATGCCATAGAAAAACAGACGAATCAGTCCTTATCCAGACAGATTAAATTTGTAAAATTGTTTAAACAATTAGACATAGACTGCATATTTTTTTGACATGTTATGAGAAGGAATGGACTCCATAACTTGGTAACAACTGGCAAGTCTGATGGAAAGAGAACAAAAGGAAGGTACAGAGATAAATACCTGGATGACCTGGTCAGATGGATGTTATGAGACCAAAACATTGAACTGATCAGGTTTAAACACACAGATCAACATCATAGCACCCATGGGATAGTAATCCATAAGTGCTCTGTTCTTTTTCTAACTCAAGTCTGAAGAAAAAGCTCAGCACAATGTGCAGGCTCTGTAGCACCGGCGAGGATCCTGAAATACTTAGGGTAGATTTTTTAACTCGAAATTTTACTTGGGCAATGCCGTTAGGCTTCTCTTTTGGATTTCCAACTGCCAAGGGATTTTTTACGTGCACAACAATACACACGGGTGTCCGATGACACTACCCAGAGACTCGGGGGATTTACTAGAAGTCCAAACCCATGCGAAAAAATCCCACTGCTTACCGGGGATTGAACATGAAATGTCTGGCACTCGGGGCGGACACCATGCCTCAAGATTGACGTAGCCCCCTTCTGATCTGTGATTTTGGTGATCCTAAGAAATGGCGAAACATAACAGTCTACGCTTACCAGCATGGCACATGATAATGATGAAAGTGTGTTTATTATAAATTAATTAATGTTTATTTTTGTTGGAGAGACATAGAGTGTGATTATCATATAATTGAAGATCCAGCTATAGATTTCTTTTTTCTGTAAGCGTAGAGCCACAAAGTGTCTCTGTTATGCCTGGAGAGCCATTTCATGTTGTACTTTAATGTGTTTGTACTTTAATGTGTTTCAGATCTAACAAGGAAGCTCAAGCTAAGAAATTCTACTGAGTTCACTCCCCTGCCATGTTTTAGCCTAAACAATTGTTTACATATTTTGTGATGGTGGAAGTTTATCTTGTTCTTCTGTTAGTTTTATCTGGTTCTTGTTTGTTTGTGTCCGACAAATTAGGCAGTTGTAGTTTATCATTGTACGGATTCGAGTGAACTCTCATTACACTGTGTCTACTGACTTAAACACTGACTGTAAAACTGAAGAAACTGCTGCAAATGGCAGTGCTTAGCTGATAACCACCACTAGATACAGTCAATATATAGGACTTTGTTCACACTATACCCGTGACTGATTATGATAACGCTCTTATACTTGTACCTGAATAAAGAGTGGTAAGCATCACTTCACAGGTTCCAGGTAGTTAGCTTCCTTTGGATATTTTCTCCAGGTTGTGTCTGTGTGTTAGGAAATGAGCAGACAGATAGACTGACCGGTTCTGCACCACTAGGTGGTGAACTGATGTATGACAAGCTGGACGTTGTGAGAGCCCTTTGGGAGCAAGTGAACAGTGCCGAGGCCCAGATAGATCATTATGGTCTGAGGAGAATGGCACTGCAAGTTACAAGAGGATATGGCTGACGCTCGACACTCAGGGAAAAGACAAGACAGTTATACAATCAGACATTTCCTGGTAACATTGGAATTTTAACTCTTAGCTTGCTGCCGAAGATGGGAACGGAGCGCTTATGTGTGTGTCTCGAGTGCTGTGATGTCAATTCTTAATTCAACATTCAATAAATTGTATTGCTAATTGATAACTGTTAAGATTGCTCTGATATTTGCCATCTTTGAGTCAGCATGGAAGAGACAGTGTCTCAGTTTTGAGTCGAACATTGGAAGTAAAACTACAGCAGGAATCTTAGTAAACTATTGTACTTGACATGGCCAATGACTGACAGTGAATCTGCTGTTCCCGCCAACTGAAAATATTTTATGGAGTAAATTATTGTTTGATTGTTAAATGTTTCATTTGGCTTTTGTGATTGTCAGTGATTGATTTTCCTGCATATTTTTGATTAATAATGTTGGTGATTTATTATGAGGAGGGGCTAGAATGGTGGGCTCTCTTGCGAAGACCCTGGTTTGAATCCTTGATAAGGAGATGGAAGTTTTTATCTGTCAGGGGTAAAAATAAACAGGCTACCCTAAATCCTCATATTCATGAGCTGCCATTCCTTCACCGCCGTACAGGGAGTAAAGATGGTCATTGATTGTAGAATATTTGAATTTATGATTGTTAATGCTTGATTGTTGTCATCGTCAGTGATTGCAGAACATTTATGTTTGTCTGGCATTGATTGATTATAGAATGTTTGTTAATAAACTGAATGTAGAATATTTGAATTTATGATTGTTAGTGCTTGATTGTTGTCGTCGTCAGCAGTTACAGAGCATTTGTGTTTGCTTGTCAGGGATTCATTTTAGGACATTCCTAGTTGTCAATGATTGAGTATAGACCATTTATGGTTGTCAGTGATTGAGTATAGAAACATTTCATAGTTGTCAGTGATTGGGTATAGAATACTTTTGGTTGTCAGTGATTAAGTATAGAACATTTCTGGTTGTCAGTGATTGAGTATAGAAAACTGTCATAATGGTCAGTGATTGAGTATAGAAACATTTCATAGTTGTCAGTGATTGGGTATAGAATACTTTTGGTTGTCAGTGATTGAGTATGGAACATTTCTGGTTGTCAGTGATTGAGTATAGAAATCTGTCATAATGGTCAGTGATTGAGTATGGAACATTTTTGATTGTCAGTGATTGAGTATGGAACATGTCTGACTGTCATTTATTGTTTATAGGAACTGTGTGGTTGCAGTGTTGATTATCCTCTTGTAGTTTGGTTGTTGCCTTTCTTTCCCCTCTTGAACTAATTATTTGTTCGACCCAGCGTGACCATTTGTATTAGTCTGTGAGTGTATATGGTCGTTCGCAGAGTTTTCAGTTCTACAATAAATCTGGAACTCGTGTGCGACTGTTAAACGTTTTAACTAGACATAGAAATATGTCGACAAAACTGAGAAGACGCAAACAGCTGAAGTCAGTTATGTGTTTTTGGTGTCCTGGAGTATGTTGTATATTCCGTAATACATTTGTGGCAGTGAATTCAGTTGGGGTGTCACAGTTTGTAGCTTAGCAAAAGAATAAGGATAATATTTTGAAGATTGGCATTTTGTTGGCCATGTGAAGATGAAGTGTAGGTCTCATATATTTATGGGGAAACCAGCAAAATTATTGGTTTTAGAAATATTTATTTTTTGAAGTAGTGAAGATTGTAGTCAACAAGTTATAACAAGACTAGCAAAGATTATAGTCAACAAAACAAGATTAATGAAGATTATAGTTAACAAATTTTAACAAGACTAATAAAGATTATAAAAAAGGAAAAGTAAAGATCCCTTGACACGCCTTTAGGCCCATCGGGTATATGGGAAGGTGCCCATATTTTTCAGACCATCGGCACTAGGTGGGTATTATGATCAGCAATACGCCGGCCATCTCTACTTCCCCAGGACAGCCATCCTGGTACCCATTTTACGCTGGGTCAACTTGCAATGTCCCCTACAACGATAAAATGCATGCAGCCAGCAGTGGGTTTCGATCGCTGTACGTTGAAATTACAAGTCGGACTTGCAACGCCTAAGCCATGGACGCCGCATTGAAGATTATAGTCAACACATAAAACTAATGAAAATTATAGTTAACAAATTATAACTTACTCAAGAGTATCTATCAACAAATTATTCAACACTTACTCAAGTATACTCCTCAACAAGTCTTGAACATAAAACTGTTATAGTATCACATAAAACTGTTTGCCTGATTACAGTTAACACATAAAACTATTTATAGTGTCTTGAAGATTTATTGTTTTCTTCATTTGCATCAGCATGAATAAAGCTGATGAGATTTCTTCATATTTGCACAAATGATGAACTGGTAAAATAATAGTGTGGGTTGTTGAAAGACATGGAGATATCTTGTAGTGGGGACTGGTTCATTAAATACATGTTTTCTTATCTGAAGCTACTATATCTTGAAAAATTATAACTTACTCAAAGAGTATCTATCAACAAATTATTCAACACTTATTCAGTATACTCCTCAACAAGGGGCTGGTTAATAGAATACATGTTTTCTTATCAAAGCCGCTATATCTTGAAATAGGGGTTGGTTAATTGAATACATGTTTTCTAATTTGAAGCTGCAGCTGTAGTTTGTCATCATTATCATTTGATTGCGTTGTTGGGAGGAATGGTTTATGATCTGGCACTCAGTGAATATACTGTGGGTCGTGACCCTTTTTTTTTTTTTTTTTGGTCGAATGACCCTTTTAAAGGGGTTGCCAAAGACCATCGCAAAACACAGATTAATTAAAGTTATGAAGTAACACAAAAATGTATGGTTGGGGAGTCTCCCAACTTGAGGAATTGTATTTGAAAGGTTGAGAAACACTGTTTTAGGGGAATCTACAGGGTGTCCCATAACTTCCCATAATCAGAACCCCAAAAACAAAACAGATCACCAACACCATTACAAGCATAACTCCAGCTGTGCTTATGTGTGTGCTTCAGCGGTGGGGACACACGTCCAGATGTATCTTCAAAACAATGATAGTTATGTAGAGCAGCAGTTCTTAAACTGAGTGCCGCGAGCGTGTGTCAGGGGTACCATGGCAATCAAGTAAAGTCGGCTAAAATTTTTTAAATTATTAAAGAAGGCATGAAGATACTTAAAAAATTTAAGTTGTCTTCCCTGGCCTCTGTTAAAAAGACTTTTGTTTTGTGTTTCACACTCAGACATGCTTCATATTGCATAACATGCCAACCTCAACGTTCTGTGGCAAAAGAAGATTGAGAACAGCTGATGTAGAGCATATTAAATTTAAAAATGGTTTTCATTTTTTTAAATGTTAATTTCCCTATGAATGGAAACATGTGACACCTGTATGTTTTTAATGTTCTTGGACCATTTTCTGGGGCACCCACTTGCACTTGTGTCATATTTTCTTAAATATAGGTCCTGTTGTGGTAACTGGTGTTGCTTCACCCCAGCAAAGTGCTGAAACTATGTGGTCTTCAGTTTCTCAGTGTGTGTGGCACAAACAAGGGTTGTTTCTGCAAATCTGTCAGATTGTGTCATTTTTTCATTCTGTCTTAGGCAATTAAATTGGCAGCTTTCCTTGGTCAACTCATCTCATTTTGTATTCACACACGATCACATAAGAGAACAGGGAAAACCGGTGATGGTTTTATTGCTTAAATAGTGTAACATTCTGTTGAGTGATAACCCAGTCTGTGTTAGTAGAATCTGTTTGTCGGGTCGGCAACCATTTAGCAGGTTGAGCAGAAGTCATATTGCAGGGACAGTCACTGTGCCAAAGTCTACCATTATATACCACATTCAGCTGCCATTGAACTCTTTGGTGTACACAGTTTTTGTCTCTCTGTTGTCTGTCTTTCTCTCCCCAACTGTTGCATCTATTAGCCTCTTGGATGCCAGTAATGAGTAGTGATTTAAACAGATTATGAATTTTGTTGTTGCTGTAAATAATTTGCTGTGAACATTGCATTTAAATGTGATCATGACATTCTAGTTGGGTGCATGCATTTCATGTCCGACTCTCATCATGTCTGGTCATAATTTGGTTCATTGATTTATTCTGGGTCGTTTAATTTGTTTATTCATAATTGTCAAGGTATTTGTCAGTCATTATTTTGCTGCTGCTGTTGTTAAAATGAGTTACTGTGCGAATGAATCGTGTTTTCCCCCCATGTATTCTAGGGTTGCGTGTTTCTGTAAGAGTTCATAAATCACATCAAAATCTGGTAACATTTTTATTTCACATCAAAATAAGTTACTCTTAATGTGTTTTTTTTTTTTTTTTTGAAACTCAATAACCTGAAATATAATTTTCACATAAATATGACTGGCACTCAGTTTTTACATTGCAGTGACACTTAATATTTGCATCAAAATCATGGAATTTATT